AAGTTACTGTCTGGTCTTTACATGCACACACACGAGCACCCTCTCCAACTGAATAAAAAAACCTTTTTTGCTTATTCAAAAGAGTTATATGTGTTTTGATTATAATCTTCCCTCCCAACCCAACTTCTCTCTCAAAAACAAAAACCCAAATCAAAACAACAAAAAATCCTGGCAAAACAACACACACACACATACACACACACACACACACACACACACACACACACACACACACACACACACACATGCATATATACCAATACAGTGTCATGCCAGTGGAGAGCACATCCTTTTCCCAGCAGGTATCCATTGCAAATAGCTTCCTGATAGCTTCTTGGTAAGGGGGTGGGGCTTTGTGTCTACTTCCCTTTCTCCATGAGTGATGCCGTATGGTTTGAACCTGTGCAGGTCTTGTCAAAGTCTCTGAGTTCATACGTGTACCCGCCCAGTCGTGTCTGGTAGACACTGTTTCCTTGGAGTCATCCACTACCTCTGGCTCTTAACATTCTTTGCGTTTCTTCTGAGATCTCTGGGCCTCGAGGGGATGGGTTTATCCCGTTTAGGGCTGAGCACTGCAAAGTCTCCAACTCCCAGCACGGTCTCCGGTTGTGGGCCTGCCTTAATTACCATCTACCCCAAGAAGCTGCTTCTTTGATGGTGGCTGGGTGACGCACTGATCTATGGGGTGTAGCAATGCGTCATTAAAGGTCATTTTATGGCTATGTTCTTGAGCAGAATGGTAGTAATAGGTTTTCTCCTGGGCCCCACGACCTCTCTGGTCTCAGTGTCTTGGCTGCTTTAGCCATGCCCGGTATGGTATGGGTTCCATCTCATGGAGTAAGCCTTAAGTCTGATTTTTAAAAACTGGCTGGTTACAACTGTAACGTTTGTGCCAGTATAGAACCAGTGTAGTTTTGCAGGCAGGTTGCTGTTGTGGGTCACAGGGTTTGTAACTGGGTGATATTGGTGATTACTCTTTTCCTCCAGTAGCATGCAGAGGACCCTCTAGGACTATGAACACTGTAAGCAGGAGTGAAACTGCCAACTGGGCACCATCCCAGTTTCTTCAGAAATTAAACTTTTTAATTAAAAAATAAACTATTTTAAGTGTAAACAGGGCTGGGGACGTATAGCTTGGTCATAGCACACTTGCCTATCTGGCATAAGCAAGGCCCTGGTTTTAGTCACCAATACCAACCAGAGAAACTTTCCCTTAGGTCATCCATTTGTTCCTTAAACCATGAAAATAAGAATACTGGTCCTTTTCCCATCCCTGGGCTGGGTAGTAAAAACAGCGGTGGACTTGGTTGCCAAGACACCCATTAGTTTTACTAATTTATATTCTACCCACGTCCTACAGAAAGAAGCTACGGTGTGGAGTTGTTGAAGTGTCACTTTGGGGTCCTCGGGCAGCCCACAACGGGTGTGTCCTCACCTCACTCCAGCTGGGTGTTCCCACTGTCCTCTCGAGACCCTCTTCTCTGCAGGGAGCCATGGGGCACATTTCTGTCACCTCGTCTTCAGCTCCCGCCACTGCTGGAGTGTGCTAGTGTTCCGTGTAGGAAGACAGAGTCATGGAATTCCCCTCTGCGGGTTCTTCTCAGTGACTTTCTGAGGGGTGGCTCCGTTGCGTCATCTTCTCAGCTCGCATCTGGTTTCTGTTTGAATTGCCGTCTGGGCCTTGCTTGCCCCTGGGGTTTTGCTTTGAATGTCTTGTCACATTTAGAAGGAAGATCCCAGACCTCTCTGTTTTTCCTGCTCTCGGGGATGCCAGTGACTGCAGAGACAAAGAGAAGGACAGAGTGGTGTCCAGAGTTCTGTGGGGATCGCAAGGTCAGGGACATTTGTCCAGCTAAGCATCAGGGTCACCGGGGCTCACCTAGGCGGCCCTTGTTGGACCAAGTCTGGAGGAGCAAAGTGTAATTGGCCTCTGACATAGAGAAGAGGCACTCAGGGCAGAAGGCCCGCCTCAGCCAAAGACAGGGTTCCGGAGGCTCCCTGCTGGCTAGAGAGCTGAAGCAGGTGCAGGAGGGGCGAGCAGCTGGGGAAAGTGGAAGCCTTGCGGATGGGTAGGGGAGCATGGAGCGCCTGGGTTGAGACTTGGAGGCAGAGCCACTGGGATTTTCGAAGTGTGCACCTGGAGGCTCTTGCTCTCCCTCCATAAGCCCGAAGGGAGCCCAAAGGCAAAGGTGTGACGTAAGCGTGCCTTCTGCGCTTAATGGTCTTGGGGAGGAGAGGTCATGGGACGAGAGGGGACAGTAGCCCTTGAGGTGAGCAATCTTGAGCCCTCTCTGGGTTAGACACTGACAGTGGTTGGTCCCAGAATAACAGCTGGTAGAAATGGAAGCATGTGCGGGCAAGCAAACTGCAGAGGCCCAGAAATCATCGTCACCTCAGAGGTATTGCATCTGCCTGTGTCTGTCACATCATCTATGTCTCTTTTGGCCAGCTTGGCTCCTGAAGCCTGATGGGCTGCCTCAGAGGGGTGAGCATCTGCTCTCTGAAACTGGGAAGTGGTCCTGAGCCAGGTGCCTAGAGGGGTTTAAAAATAATCTGGCTTCCCCGACCATAAAGTTGTAGAGTTTCAGGCTCTTCCATCGCCGCCTGGCTGTGGCAAAGCCTTCTCCCCTTTCCCTTATGACCCAACACCATAGCGTCCCCCTACCTGCGTGCCCACGCTTGGCCACGCCCACTCATAGGACGGAATTGCCCCAGTCAGCTCCTCAGCTGTTCTATTCAACGACTACTCAGCTTCAAGTTGGGAGAGGCACGGAAACCCTGCCCCATTCCTTCCTTGTCATTCAGGCATCTCTTGCTAAGACCCCTGCCGCTCTGGGTGCTCCCGAAGGCAGATGTTTGTTGCACAACAATAGTCTGAGCCTGCAAGAGCGCCTTTGGGCGTGTCCGCTGTGTCTAGCTACGGAAACAAAGCCACAGTGGTGTTGGAAGGGAGAGGAAGGGACTGGATGGAGTGCTTCTGGGCTGCTGCAAGGGGTATCACTCCACAGGAGCACTGGGGCACTTGTAATCATTGAAGACATTTTTACCTCTCTGTGGTGCCAGTAAGATAAGAGCAGGTGTCTGGCAATAGATGTACATGCGTGTGCTCCTAGCGTCTGTAGCCATCACACACTAGACACGGAAGTAAAAGTCTATCAACAGGAGGATGGAAAAGGAATACTATTTGGCAATGACTAAGGAACCAAAGCACCACAGCACTCACAACACAGACAACTTATTACCTGCTTGAAGCTAGAAGCAGAGGAGCCTAGGTTGCATAGTTCCAGATATCAGAGGCTAGTTGACCATAATAGAAAACCTTCTGGCCAAGGGTGTGGTATTGACTAGGCTGGGACACAAAGGAACCTTCTAGGATGCAGGAAATATTCTCTGGTTTGATGTGGGTGGTGATTACAAGGGTGAAGGTCTGTGTAAATAAACCATCAGTCATGCACTTAGGTGAGTGTACTCTAGGTATTGATTCCGACATAGGAAAGTTACCTGAAGAAAATGAGCTTATTACCAAAGGGCAGTTGAGACTCTGATTAGCTTCCTGAAGCTCTGCTGTAGCCTTTTCAGTAGAAACAGGGAAGTCCACACGTCGGACATTTTCTTCAGAGTCCCAGAGGGTTCTAATTTATGGGTGGAGAGGCCCAGGGCAAAGCTAGCCACAGGTGCAAGCCAAACAAGCCAGCTGCTTGTCTGGGTCTGATGGGGTGGACTCCCTTCTCAGCTGTAGGATGGTGGGCACCAAACAGAGGGCAGCACCGGTGCTCCCTCCTCTCCCAACAGCGACCTAGCCCCGCTCCTCCTGGAACCTGCCTTCCCCAGACGCTGTTTCCAGCACTTAAGGCTGAGAGCTAAGCCATTCCTCCACTCCAGGAAAATATTTGTTCAGAGACTTGGCACCCGCAGAAGAGGAAATCAAAGCCACTTCGGAGTCGAGTGGGCAGCCTGCTGCAGGCTGCTTTGTCTGCCCCCCCCCGACTACTTCAGCGCTGGTTGTGTCTAGGACAGGGAAAACAAACGCCAACTTGCCAAGAGGCCGGCACTAGGCACGGCCTGTGTGTCAGCTCTTCATTCAGTGTTCAGTCACCAGCCAGTTCTGCCAGGCCAGATGGACAAAGCCTCCTCCATGCCAGGCTGGGTGCTGGGCCTGACCTTGCCTTCCAGGCTGGCGTAAGGGAGTGAGAGAGGTCAGTCAGTGGGTACCCATGGTAGCACAGGAAGACCATGGTGGCCAAGAGAAAGACGGTAGGCACTAGGCAGGGTGATTTCATTCCTGGGGGCAAGCATGAGATGTACCCCGAGTCAAGCTGTGAAAGAGGATGGCAGGGTGCAGGGGGCATGGGGGGCATGGGAGTAATGGAATAGCATAGCACCGGCAAAGGCCCCGAGTCGACAACTTCTTAGGAAGATGATGGCATCAGTTAGGTTTGCAACTAGGAGTCTAGGGAGGGAAACTGGAGAGAAGGTAGGCTGGGAACCTCCCATGATACCAGCTTGAGAGTGTGTGGACTTCATCTCCAGGGCAGAGAAGGTATGTGCTTGCTGTAAGATACTGAAACACGTTGATTTTTGAGACTTTTTTTTTTAATGTAGAAAAGTATAAGAGACAAAACTAGCCTAGCATGTTGTCACCGGGCTTATAATTCAAGTTACTCCAAAAGGTTTGACAAGAACTGTAAATTCAAAGTCAGTTTGGGTAACTTGATGACTGCCTGTTTGGGAAGGAAGGAAAGAAGGAAGGGAGGGAGGGAAGTAGGGAGGGAGGGAGGGAGGAAGGAAGGAAGGAAGGAAGGAAGGGAGAGAAGGACAGAAGGAAGGTAGGGGGTAGCTCAGTGGTACAGTGCTTGTCATGCCACAGGCCCTAGGTTTATCCAGAAGTATGGGAGAGGGCTGGGGGAGAAGAAGAGGAGGAGGAGGAGGGAGGGAGGGAGGGAGGGAGGGAGGGAGGGAGGGAGGGAGGGAGGCAGGTGAACAGATGGGGACAGAACTAACCTTATCTCAGTCCCACCATCTAGATACTTCATGACGACATTTGAAAAGTTTAGAAACACTTGTGGGCATGTGACTGGAAATCCAAACAGTGAGAAAGTACAAAATGCAAGCTAACTCCGCCTCCCCACCTGTGGCGGCTCAGGCCAAAGGCAGCTTCCTTTAATGGGGTTTCAGGGCATGTTTCCAGAATGTCTTTTCCAGGCCTGTTCCTGTGAGGGTAAGTCCACACTTTTAAAACTTGCACGAATGGCCGGCGCTGCACACGGGAGATCTGTGTGGCTTTCTTTAGCATGCCAGCACCTGCAGACAGCTCCGCCCTATTCTCGTCATGGCTACAGAGTCCACTCATCGAGGCCACCCCAACTCTTTCTTTTGGTAGATGCCTAGTTATCGGGCAGATGCTGCTGTCTTTAGGCAGCACTGTTTACAGCCTCCTGAGCTACCATGGACACATATGGGGAGCCCTTCTAGCCAGGGGTCCTGGATGGACAGAAGGCGATGTTTGTCACACTTGTCTTCTGAAAAAGGGATCAGGGTCTCACACTTGTCGCTGCACTCAGACTACAGCAAGAGTCTCGGATTAGTCACCACATCTCATCCAATGGTCCCATCTGCTTTTATGTGGGGGTGGAGATGGTATCTGTTCTTTTCATTCAAATGTGTTTAATTGCAAACGAAGTTTATGTTTCTCTGTGTGTGGTATAGGATACATGTATTATACATGCCTGTTCAAATGTGTTTGTGTCTAGATGTGTTCACAGGCATCTGTGCACATGTATGTAGGGGCCAGAGGTTGACACGAGGCTCATCCTTGATCACTGTCGTGTGTGTGTGTGTGTGTGTGTGTGTGTGTGTGTGTGTGTGTGTGTGTGTGTTCCAATTCGTATTTTGAGGCAGGGTCTCCCGTTACCTAGCCACCTTGCTCCAAAAATCTCCAATAATTTGGGATTGTAGATGGCTGTGTACTGAGGATCCACTCAGGCCCTCAAGCTTCCAAGGCAAGTACTTCACCCACTGAGCCATTGTCACAGCCTTTAGGTTTCTTTTTTCTACCCCCCCCCCCATCTCAGGACATCTAATTTTTCACATTTGGGACTCACCTTCCCCATCGGCCTTTTTCTATTCCTTGTAGATGGGTCCTGGGTTTTCAAACATTAAGGCACTGAAGGGGTTAGCATTTGGAACCTTGATCTTCAGGAGGCCCCACTGCTACAGTGTTAGGGGGTCTGGGGGTCCTTGGAGAGGTACGGTGGCCTGGAGGGATCAGTGGCCACAGCAGTCAGGAAGAACCAGTCAGCGGATTGAGCTGTTTTGGCATAAGTTCAGGGTTCCTTTGTTTCTGTTGCCAGCCGCCTTGTCCTAGTAAACCCAGTGAGTGACAAACCTGGACACGGGTCCTATGTGTAAGTCACCCAGCTGGCTAACCACACGCCCAGTTATCTGTGCCACTTCCCTCCTTCTCTGTGTGGTGAATGATGGGGGGGGGGTAGAGCAACAGGAGAGGAGACAGTTCCCAGGGCCCTCCCTACTTTCAACATGGTTCCCTAAGCCACGTCAACAACCCAGAGATTCCAGTATTTCAACACATAGTACCACACTGACCCACATATGTCTTCTTGGAGTTAAATCCCCAAGAAGGCACGTAGTGTCCCTTTGAGCCGATAGAGAACAGAGGACAGAGTTAGGTAGTAAAAAGGGCCCTAGGTCCCTAGTTGGTGACAGTGGGTAGCTGGGTTTCTGGCTTTAGCCCTTCTCCACGTAGGCTCCAGGACTCGACTCGAAGGAAACACTTAAAAAAATATCCCACAATGTGAAATTCTGTTTTTAAATCGAATTTGTTTAAAATTTCCTCTTGTTTTTGGTCAAATTTCTTTTATAGTTTATCCTTGTGGGTTGGGTCAGAGGAAGGGGAGAAGCAGGCCTTGGCTTGTAGCTCAGTGATAGTGCTTGTTTCCTATGTATGAGATCCTAAGTTTGATCAACAGCATTGCCAAGAAAAAAATGAGAAAAAAAGAAGTATTTTTTCCCTCTAAAACCATATAAAGTATATTAATGGCAGCTCATGTCTTTAGACCCAGCATTCAGAGGCAGAAGCATTCAAACCTCTGTGCTTGAGGTCAGCCAGCTCTTTGTACTGAGACCCCGCCTCAAATAAAATAAAAATGTATAAAGTATGTTTTATGGACAGTAAACTTGTTCCTACTACATAGATATTGTGGGGTTTTTTGTTTGTTTGTTTGTTTGTTACTTACAAATTGCACAGTTTGTGTCCCTACAACGATGGTTTGATATAGACCTACCATGTTCCCAAAACTTCTCTATGCTCTCAATGGTTAGCTCTGCCCACCCTCAGATCTTTCTGTCCCCATAGTTTTGACATAGGTTTCCAGATAAACCTCAGGTGGAATCATTTAGCATGAGTCTTCCCAGCCTAACCTCCCCAGGAGACAGCACTGGGTTTATCCCAGCTGGGACTCTTAGGACCGTGTTACCTTTGAGGCTGCATAGTATTTCACAGTCTGGATATGGTGGCTTATTTGAAGTCACTTGTAATGAAAAAACAAAACAAAACTCAGTGTCTGTTAACAATAAGAATTTCATTATGTCTAGGGTTACAAATCAAAATACTTATGTCTGAGAGCAAATCCTGATTGGAATTCAGGGTTTGAGGGCAAGAAGTATTCCTTGAGAGTCTACTGAGGGGAACATGCCTGCCTGCCTTCCTGCCTGCCTACCTGTCTATGCTCCTGTCTTCCTTCCTTGCATTTCATTTTTCTTTTTTGTTTTTAAATTTTATTTTATTTTTTTGAGAAAGGTTGCCTTGTGTCTCAAGCTGTACTCTCTATAAAGCCAAGGAGATGTTCTTGAACTTTGAACTTTGGACACCTTCCTCTCCACTTCCTGAGTGCTGGGATAACAGGCACCTCCACTCTCCTGATTCATGTGATGGGTGGGGGCAGATCCTAGGGCTTCCTACAAGCATTCTACCAACAGAGCTACATCCCCAGCCCATGAGCAGGTCATTGTTAAGGAGAGGGGCCAAGCTCAGAGGACAGGACGGAACACCAGCTCAGGATTCCCTGGCTGGTAGTCCAACCTCCACCAGTGTAGGCCTAACCCCGACCTGGGCAATAATTCTGATAAACCGAACAGGGCTCCTCCCGGTGGTGTCCAGCTCTGTAACAGAGGCATCCTTGTTCTCTAAGAGAAGGGAACCTTTCCCCACCAGGGCAGCAGTATTTTAAGCCCTCATTCGTGCCTTTATCCCTGCAAAACCCCATTGCTTCACGGGGCAGCCTGTGTTTGGGATACCCCCTCTAAAAGGCACAGACGGATGCATTGAAATCTGCCCACCCCGGGGACAGGCAGAAGTGACAGTTTCAGTTCCAAACTTGTTCAATGGAGGCAGCACGAGGGAAAAGGGGGTGTGGTCACTCACCCCTTCAGAGCCCAAAGAGGGAGTCGAGGTGGAGGTTCGGGGAAGGTTCCAGAACTAGACACAGTTTTTCAGCCATGTGAACTATCTCCCAGCATGCTCCAAGGCTGAGGCACCCTGTTAGCAGCAGCTGGTCTTAGTGAATGATGGGCGTTCTGACTGTGATAGCTCAAGGTTGGAAAGGTGTCGTCAACCCCGGGGTGACTATCTGCCCCCTGATGCTCCCCCTCCGTCTGCACCTCTGATCCCCAGTCTGTACCTCAGCTCTCTGCCATCTGGAGAGTGTGGTAGTTGGGGAGATAACCACTTGCATCTTCTGGGATTCTTCCAAGATGTGGGGACCATGCCTCCTGGCAGCCAGGCCTGGAACTGATAATGATGATTCTAGCACCTTCCTTCATGCTTGATGCTCCTTGCTGCCTAAGGGATAAGGGACAGAGCCTACACTGGGCCCCATGATTCCTAGTGCAGCAGCAGCCTGGACCTCCCTTGTAGGTCCAGCCGAGGCACCGCTGAGCTAGGATAGAACCTGCGGCTCTACTCTGAAGGAGGAGGACCTTCGTGAGCTACTGGCTGTGCCCTCCAGGTTCCCAGGGCGGTAACACATGCGGGTTATTCCGTGTCTCTCTTTCACTGAAGTTATCCTTCCGTGTGAGATGTACCACTCCCCTGAACCCATTAGATAAGTTTCTGGTATAACTGACGAGGTCTTTCTAGTTTGAAAAAGCTGGACACAAAGCAGAGAATCCTCCCGTTGCTTTGCCCACAAACGGCGTGCTGGGTCACCCCTTCTCAGAGAAGAGCTCCGGTGTCGCTGTGAAGTTCCCCGTAGTGATACTCCACTATGAGGCTGGTGCCCCAGGCTCACCCTCACCGCAAGCAGGGCTCCCCGCCACAGTGCTCAGCTGCTACAACCATCAGTCTCCCATAGTGTCACAGTCGCTCTAGGCCCGCATAGACGGCCAGCCTAACTCCCACCCTACACATGAGAAAAGGAAGCGTGTGTGCAAAGGGGAAGCTCTGTACAAGGCTGCCCACAGTGAGGCAGGGGCGGGAATGCTGGGCAGAGTCCTACCTGCTGCTGGCTTTCCTAGCCTTGCCTTTACAGGCCCCATCCTTACCTGTGCCAGACAGCAGCCTGGATCTCTGACCTGGATGCCCAGGCCAGCTCCGCCACACTAGCAGAGGACCTGTCGCAGGATGCGCCTGCTTCAGCCTCCGCCTCCTCGCTGGAACCCCAAGGATGTGGGTGCCTTTCTCCAGGTTCACCCCAGACTGTGAAAGAGACAGACAGATGTGTTTCCCTGCGGATTGCTACACACCAGGGTCTAGATCTCCCAAATGAGCGCTAGCATTACTTACATGCCTAGAGACCACTGGCCCTCGACACCCCCCCCTCCTGTGTTAGGGGAAAGGGACAATACAGAAGCAGGGGTTGGGGCTTAGAGCCCACTCCACTTGCTGCCTGACTACCAACTCTTCAGAACCTCAGTGTTCTTGTCTGGGAAACGGGGCAGACTGCTCTCAGCGCATCATTAGGTCTGTCAGGCATAAATTAAGGTAATGTTTGTAACTGCCCAGCAGTTTGCTCTGGGCTCTTCGCAAGCACGCCATAAATGGTGGCAATTACCCACTGGAGTTACAGAGGCTATCCGGACAGGTGGAGGGGATGGTCTTCCAGCTTCAGCCGCCCTGCCAAACCTGAGGTGATTCCAAAGCACGGGAAAGGGTGGTCTGGAGAATGGGTCTGGAGAATGGGCAAGCTTTGTCAGTCCATGATG